TTTGGATGCGAAACCCAATTAACCTTTTTATTGGGCTGTTTTCACTTATGATTCCAGATCAGAAATACGATGAGTTTAGGCACACAATCTAATTGGGCAACTAAATGATGTGAACATCAGCTAACATATAACAAGGTGCCTTAGACTATGTAATGTCAGAATGACCAAAGATGACGATGTGTGTCTCGAACAGAGAAAGCTAGGAATTTAACAGCAAGTGCACAGATGGAGAGGGAGAGGATGCCACAAGATTGACAAAGTGGCATATTGATGCAATGATGCACCAAACGTTACTGATAGAAAACAGAAATGGCCTAATAAGAATATGTTTTAGCTGTTCATCCAAGTCATCGAGCATCATAAACCCACCTCACATGATAGCAGCATTAGGCTACAATCCATAAAAACAATTAATACAGATTTGCATACCACAAGGACATCAAATTTTTGAGCATTCTTGATGAAACAAATCGACAAAGCCACATAGTTATAACCTCAAAACACAAGCGCACTTAAATGATTTAGCATAACACAAGTCTATCAAAATTCCTTGGTAAACTGAGTGCCATCATAAAATGCTTTGAACCGTGCACACTGAATGTAACTAATTGAAAATACAGTCTTAAAATTGAAAAGGAATTTCTAATTCCAGTCTCATTTGCAAAACACTGTGGATTCCCATGAAAAGGCATGGAAGATTTGCTACCACAATAAACAAAAGAGCTATGACGGATCACACACTGGGCAACATACAGCATGACGGAAATCAAACCATCGCCTGTAGCAACCAGGAAAGACGCATACTAAACCAGCCACACAAGGAGTACCTGCTGAAAAGAGTATAACCCAAACACCATCCTGAGCCTCGACCAACCTATAGAAGCACAAGCCCAAGCTCAGATGGCTTGATTCCATTGCGAATGCGGTAATTATAGAGATAATAGTGCAGCTGCCCATCTCCAGGGCCAAACTTGAGCTCCTTGAGGAACCCCTCGTTCTCCATGACATCGAGCGCGTTGAACACATCAAAGTTCTTCTGCTTGGCCACAATCAGTGCATCATTCATCAGCTGCTGCAATGGGGTCTTGACAGCAACATTGTAATATGAGTATGCGGCCTTGAGTGTTGAGTAGTTGGCATTGTTCAGCACGGACGAGGGCAGAGTGTAAAAGCTGCAGAAATCTGTGACCTCGTGCGTCTCAGGGCTCTCCACAAGGTAGCTGTCCACTACATCCTCCTGGGGCAGCAACCAGTGCTCAACATCAAGCTCATCAAAATCTGGAGCCACCACGTACCTTGCAAGGTATGCCCTGAGCAAGCGTGTGACTGCTGCAACATCCCGCAACTCCATCTGGCGGAACCCGGGGGTAAGCGGCGCATCAGGCAGCTTGTAGAGCCGGACCGTGCGGCTCATGGTCATGCGGGGACCAAGACGGGAGAAGCCAACGTCGATGAGCTTCTTCGGGTTGAGGGATCGATGCCAGTAGCGGCAGGTGGTGATGGGGGTCGGGAGGACGACGCCCGCAGTGTAGGCAGCCTGCCAGATGTTCTCCAGGTGCACGCGACGGGTGACCTCCCGGATGAGCACCGGCGCGAGGCGCTTGGATCGGAGCTTCTTGTGGACGCAGAGGAAGTTGATCTCGGCCATGCGGACAACGTCGTCGCACGCACGGATGCGCGCGGGGACGCCGGATATGAAAGCGACGAGCTTCTTGGACTCCTTGGCCCGGACGCCAATGTGCCAGGCGCGGAAGAAGGAGGGGGGGCGGAGCGCCCAGCGGAGGAAGGCCGGCGAGTAGTTGAAGCGGAACATGTTCTCGTCGTCCTCGACGTAGTTGTGGGCGAGGAGGGCGTAAAGGTCGGCGAGGAGGGCGTCGTCGTCGAGGTCGCAGGTGAACCACTCGAAGGCCGCGGGGAGCGGGTAGGGGTCGGCGCGGACCTCGGAGAGCGGGGAGGGCGGCTCGATGGCGCCGTCGGGGAGGGAGACGTCGGCGACGTCGCCAAACTGGCCCACGGGCTGCGTCTCCCAGAACTTGTGGCGGCGGGCGGTGGGGTTGGAGGCGAGGGTCATGTGCTCCTGCACGCGCCGCGCCAGCGCCTCGATCGAGGTGTCCTCCGGCGCGGCGAGGGCGGCGTCGCTGGTGGAAGCGCTGGCGCTGGCGGCGGCGGGGTCGTTGTTGGGGGCGGCCATGGCGATCGGCGCGGTGGGAGGGCTGGATCGGCTGTAGGGTTTGAGAGAGATTTGGGGGAGAAGACTAGGCGACAGGCCGGGTAGTGGAACGCGAGGCCAGGGGGCGGATCGGATCTGTTATTGGGCTAGCTATTCGTAAGCGTACCAAAGATACGTTTATTTATTTTCTCCTCTCCTTCTATTTATGGTTTCTCTCTACAACACGCGATATTACAACCGGAAGAAAACCACAAATAAGAGTCCCTATACAAGCTTTGAATTAAGAGCATCTGCAACCGAACTCTTCGTGAAGACACTTTGAATTAAGAGCATCTGCAACCGAACTCTTCGTGAAGGTCCTAGACGCCCGGACTCGGCCTGGACAAAAATATGTCACATATTCGGATATGGCAAACCTGGCCCAAACGCCTGGGCTGACCGGCACCTCTTGTATGCAGTCCATAACTGGAAAGAATGCTCAGATGTGTCCGTCACGTCGGATCAGGCCTACCATGACTCACTACGATCCCACATATATTTATCCATATCCGCACTCCGGATCAAACCCTAGTCACTCCATTCCGCTCCGATCATCTTCATCCCCAAGCTCCTTTCCGGCGAACTCCGACCGTCTCGGACATGTCGGGCAGTGGATCTGACTCCGAGATCCCTCGATCCATCAACTGGGGTCTTGTCCCTTGCGTGGTCGGTGAGGAGATGGTTGTCCACATGGCTCTCCGTCGCTCCCGGAAGGAGTGCGCCCGACCTCTCAAATGGCGCTTGGATCCGCCGACGCTAGAGGCTCGAGGCACGTGAATGCGGCTTCGCCGAAGGCAACGACCACTGCCTGGTGCCGCAACCCCTCCAATCGTGCGGTGTTCCCACAGCGTTGGGCTCCGAGTCGGAGGTCAATAGTGACTTCCCTCACGACCCGTCCGTTGTGGAGTCGAGGCGTTGTGTTGTGGACGCGAGGCATGCCCCAGTGCGAGGTAGAGGACGAGGGAGGCCACGGCAGCCCTCATGACAGAGGGCGCGGAGCCAGAGTCGCACAACCACCTTGGATGAGCCACGCCCGTCCATGTCTATCATATATCTCACCTCAACCGGCGACGTTTAGGTCACGGGTTCCGACGAGGAAGAGCAGGGCATGTAAGATGGTGGGGCCTCGTGCCCCATGTGGGCCAGTCTGTGTCTCATGTCCTACCCTACCTCACTGGCGACCGTTGAACAAGGACACGGAGGTAACGACAAGTACGGCCGCGACGAAGATTTAGACTAGATTATACGTTGCATTTGATTGTATGTATTTGATGATTTACAATGAGGTATCTGATTATAACATCGAATATTTGAATGTTGACCGGTCGCTATCCATGGACGCGTCCTGATGCTTCTGGACATTTCCGCAAATTTCTGGGAACGGATTTAGTTAGGTCCGCTTGTAGATGCTCTAACCACCTATCCATAAGATACTAAATATAATTTTATAGCCGTCGAGAGAGAGGGAGAGAAACGCTCTCGATAACACAAATGTTTGAACTTGTCGTCCGCTCACAAAAACTTGGACAGTTTTTTTAAATATGTTTTAGGGGAAAAAACTTGGAAAGATGAGTGTTCATAAGTTGGACCGACGGAGCATAGTGCATCGCAGAGGACAAAACCATGGGCGAATCTGCTTTTAGGTGCCTTCTTTCGACAAAGGCCAACCATCGGGCCATGTAATACAAAGAAGGCAGCGTCACATGTTTGTCAAAAAAAAAGAGCAGCGTCACATGTTTGTCAAAAAAAAAGGCAGCGTCACATGATTTCAGATTACAGGCTGTACGTTAAGCATCCACCAAAAGCAGCCCTCACTTCGGCAAAAAAATACTTCCTCCGTTCTATTTTAAACTAAAACCACGACAAGAATTGCGAAACAGAGGCACTGATAACAAAATTTACAAAGGACGAAGCAAACAAGCGAAAATACCATTCTGCACCCCAGGTCAAATGCTCCTGGTGTGAACAGTAAAATCAAAAAAAAAAAGAAAAAGAATTCAAAAAATTCTGAATTTTTTTGACATATTTTAAGAAATGTTCGCTGTGCATACAAAATTTCATCACGAAATCACATTGGTGAAAGTCATGGCAAAAAAAAAATAGAGCTCCAAAATGCATTTGAAAGTGACATTTTCAGAGCATTGATTTTTTCTACCACGCCTTCTACCAATGTGATTTGGTGATGAATTTGTGCATACACTACAAACATTACTTAAATTTTACCCAAAAAAAAACAGAATTTTTAAATTTAATTTCTATTTTTCGAATCTTCTGTTCACCCAGGAGACAAGTTGCTTGTCCTCGGGACAGAAACATGACTGCCAGTAATACTCCCGAAGCGGACATTGTGTAGGTCCCACTAGCCGTATGCTTTCATACAATGTCATCCTCGGTGAGTTCATCAAGCTGAACCTCATGCAAAAGCGCCCACTCGATCGGTGAGTTCATCAAGTCGACAACACCATCAAGGCGCCTAAGATTTTGATTTTGCCAAGGAGGGTGCATATGACCAAACTTTCATTAGAGTACATACAGGAAAAGGCAGCAGGGCGAGATACACATTATTCCCTGATTTCAACACAGGACAGCATCCAAAATGCACCAACTTAAAATCATTCCTAGGCAATGAAAGGAATGGCCTCTCAGGTACAACCAACGAATTGATTCGAGTTATGATACAACACAGAGACAACACGCGGGCAAGAAGACAACAGGCTGGGCCAACGCTTCCATCCATCCATGTACAAGAGAGCAGATGTCGGCGCGCAGCTGACGGGGGTCGACAACACCATCAAAACTCCCTGTGCGCCACTTGCAGTATTGTGAGCACCTCTCCTCTTGAACCTGAAACGTCACCGGGGGTTATATGATGATGGGAAAGATACTATGGCAAGGTGAAAGGGTTAAAAATTGCTGGAGGATGAGTATGGCATACATCGCTCGTAGAGCTCTGAGGCGAGCTCGAGGAGAGACTCGGTCTCCTCGGCCATCTTGCCGATCCTTTCAACCTCCATCATGTGCTCGTTTGCGAGGTGCGATTTGGCCTCCGCATCGGCTACTTTCGTCGCTGCAGCTTCAGCCGCGCCCAGTGCAGGGCTCGCAGCGGTAAACAGGCCTTGACCCTTTGCTGCCTTGGATGACTTGGCTGAATCCTTCTTCTTTAGAGATGGATCTTTCATTGGAGCCAGAGCCCTTTTTGCATATGAATCCGTCAGCTTATAGGACTTATCAATCTGTTCACATTAAGAAAGAAAAGATTATCGTTAGTTACATCTAAAGATCTTTTCACATCTTCAATTCAAAACGTACAAACAAGCTCAAAAGTTGGGGAGTCCAGGATATTGCATGTCTGGTAAACTAAACGTATAGTTTGGATCCAGTCACCAAAGTATTCCTACAAAAATATATCATTCTCAATTTTGAATTAAAATTCTCTTTAGGAAATTAAAATTGCAATACAAACTTGAACCTCATGTCGAGCTCCACATAAGATAACTTGTCAGCGTGCCAATTTTGACAGCCAAACTAAAGAATCTGAATTCCACATATCGTCAATGCTTAAATTGGAAGAGGTGCAAATCACAACATCTGCTGCAAAGTTGGCACAACGAGACTTCCTATACCCCCTGTATTCCCACCAATACTCTACCCAGCAGATATGAATATTCTGATTTGGGTTTGGTAAGGAATGTGGGATCCCAGCATAATCCATGCGGAGAATTAAGAATCGTGTGGATTTGGTAAGAGTCCTGCCGTAGTTAGAAGGGAGAATAGTAAGCAAGATATGCAAAAAAATGAAAAGGAAAATTGGAGATGATGTGGCCTAATGGAGTGGATTCAAACAAGCATGAGACACATAACAGTCGCACCAGCAGTAGTCGACCAGGTAGTTAGTTAGGAAGAGAAAGAAATGAGTTAGGAAGGTGAGTTGTATTCTTAGGAGGGCAGGTCAGTCTTCCCTATAAAAGAGACACCATGAACCCAGTTTGCAATTAAGCAATAAAGAATTAGAAGTTCAACTAAGCCTAGGAGCCTCTCTACCAAGGCAGGGAAGAGAGCCCTGACAGTGGTTAGTCGAGGCAAGTTCCCTTCCATTTCTTCAGACCCCCAACAAGCTAACAGAAGAACTACTTCAGCACTCATAAGCTTTCATAATTCTGGTAGTCTCGTTTTCGTAATAATGAAAATATTGTCACCTTCTCAACTTTGTTCACGCCTATAAGCCTTCGTAATTTCGCACAAAGCAACCTTCTAAAATTTGGTTGCACCTCATGCCTTTGCTGCATGTATGGCACAAAGATAACATCAGCAACCTACCATCATTCTAGCAATGCAACATAATTATGAAACATAAGTACTGCTAAGAACAAACCAGGACACATGCAAACCACAAAAACAAAATATTCCTGTAGCAGTCAAAGCAATCTTCGGAGCATCCTTGATGTAAAGGACGCTTAACAATAGATAATATATCATGCATAATTCATAAATAAAACAGGTCATGAAACATGGGCTCACATATTTTTCACCATGTCAAAGATCAGGTTATAGCAATATCTATGTGAAAAAGGGCTAGATGGGCCTCTTTGATTCGTAGGATTTTGAAAATATAGGAATAGGAAAAGTATAGGGTTAGAGTGGCATGCCCACTTGAATCCTATAAGATTAACAATGAGTGTTTGATGCCACAGGAAAAACAAAGGAATTGTAAAAAGAGGTTGGAGTGGATGTTAGATATCCTATGAAATGTAGTACAAAAGATTCCATAGGAAAAATTCCTAAGGATCCAATCCTATGAATCAAAGGACCAACATAGAAAAAATCCTAAGAGTTTCAATCCTCCAGAAATCCTATAAAATTCCTTCGAATCAAAGGAGCCCTAATCTGTTCACCTAACATAGGGGCTGTTTGGATTGTGACTATCTTTGCCATATATTGCCACTTCTTTTTTCCACACTTGCCACGCTTGCCTTACTTGAGTTGCTCAAATTGTTAGCCACACTTGGCTTGCCTAAGGGAATCTTGCCAGACTTTTTGTTTCTATGACATGTGGGGTTCACTGCTTATAAATAAATTCTTGCCTGAGGTGTGGCTAGAACCAAACACCTACCTAACTTGGTCAAACTTGCCTAAAGGTGAGGTGTGGCAAAGTGTGGAAAGGTGTGGCTAGGAACCAAACAGCCCCATAGTTCACTAGCTCTCATTACCACCAATATTTTCAGAAGACTTTAAAGCCAAATTACTTTTCTCCTGCAAGCAACAAGCAATGGAAAATGCTTATAATTTCCACTTGTATGATGTTAGCTGTATATCTGAGCAAAACTTTAATGAACTCAAAAAATGAGACCAAAAAAATAGTACAACAGAATGAAATCAAAAAGATGCTCAACCTCTATGAAATTGCAAATTGTAGTAACTTCTGAACCATTTGGCTCTTTCAGTTCGCCGAGAGCTTCCAGGATCATGGAACTGTACCTAGTATGCAAATAGGTAGACGTAATCAGATCGCAAAGTAAAATCCTTGTGTCAGGGAGAAATGATGCAGTTATATTTCTCAATGCGAAAAACAATAAGAATGCTTAATAATGCTGACAAGACTTTTATCTTGTTGAACTGAGTCTGTCACATTTTTGTTATTTAACTACATTCTTACTATGTCTACTTGTTTGTATTTATCTTATACCAATATCATACTTTTAGCTGGCATATCCTTATGTTGGTCATTCCTACTGCTTCCTTTGAAAATTCATCTTGTGATCATTACACAGAATCATATTCCTCTAATAGAAAGAAATATACAAGTAGATTTATCTAACATGCGATGAGTAGAAACGTCCTAGATGTATCACGTGATCATGCACTAACTCTTGAATAGAAGTATAGGATTTATAGCACTATGCTTGTCTTCCAGAATAAGCAGGCGCTTAAAAGTATATGTTTTGTAATCAAAGTTTAAAGGCATATGGCTTAAGTAAGACAACTTTGGACTTGGAGTCTTGTCATCCTGTGGGCTCTTTTCACAATCTTCTGGTGGAGAAGCCTCAGCAACATTATTCGTTGCTGGGAGAAGCAGAAGCTGCGGGCTAGGTGATGGGGAGGACGAAGGTGCTTTCGGCCTTGGAACCCTTTGTTTATCCCTTGAACCTAGTCCACTTGCACTAAAACTCAAATTCCTCCATTTGTCCTGAAAGTGGCAGATTAATTTCAATCAGGTAAGCTAGAGCAGTGTCATTAAACATGGTAAAATCTGTAAGGTACAACTGAACTTACATACTATCCTCATGCTCCTCAAATGGCAGAACTATCATAACAAACAATCTAAAGTTTTAAAAGTATTACTGCCTTGGACTGTATGCATGGGAGAAGATTGCAATAAATAAGTTTCCTCTCAGTATACCACCAAAAGGTACACACCACATTTCATGCCATGACGTTATCAACCCATTTCATAAAGGAAGCTGATGTACTTTTCTCCCCATTCTGCCCTTATGAAAGGAAAAAGACATAAATGTTGCTTCAGAAAAAAACAAAGTTGCCAGGTGTGTAACAATTTGCAGCACCTCATGAATATTACTTGAAGAAACAATTGGACCACTGGAACAGCAAAATATAATTCCTCGTGCTTTCTAAGTCTATCTATTGGCTTATTCATACAATGTATCTGGAGAACAGGACAGTTATCTAGGAGTAAGGTCATGTACTTTACCCACTGCATAAATTTAATCAAATTATACAACACAATTTCTCAATCTGAGCAGTAGATTATGTCTATATCTAGGACTCCAATGGCTTCCATGAATATGGTATACAATTTGTGCAGTACTTTAATTCAAGATTTAGCCTGCCTAGTATATTGACATGCCAGGTACTTTCGGTTCCAGTGAAGGAAACAGGACCACACCAATATAACTACAGATAGAGACTATAAGGATGGGCACAATTTAGAATACTATTTCTATTGCTAAGAATCCATTCGTCAATCATCATTCAAACATAAACAAAAACATATTTCACCACTGTTACAACATAGATGATGTTTTAGATTTTAAACAAAAAATATTTATACCCGTCTTCAAACTTGCCCATGTACTAACATTTCATCAAGCTATTCCTAGTGGTCAGTCCAGTGTTTGGAAAAAACATAAATATGGCAGATTACGAGGCTGGGTTGCTTTTATCGAAGACCTGGTAAGAGGAAGGGAGGGGGGGTCTGGTTTCAATTAAACTGGTTGGGACTGGATTGCCGATTACATTGGAGGAAATTGTTAAAAAAATTGTCAGTGGTAATAGTTTCTGATTTTTTATCTGTATTCAACTTGCTAAAGACCTACAGTAAGATTTGTTTTGTAACTAAAGGAGTACAACTCTACAACATAGTCTAAAGGGTACCTAACAGAGGAAAAACAAACTCCGAACTAAAACCGTGGAAATAATTCAACTGTGAGAAGTTGTCCTATTAGTGAAGTGGTTTACTGGTTAAATGTGGTTCTAAAAGCAACTTCTTGAGGGCCCTATTCAGTTATTCCCTTCCCCATGTGGCGCCTTACTCGAGGCTGAATCCTGTCCATCAAAACTTACTCAATCTGAATCGTCTCTGCAGGCATCACGTAACTGCACAGCTCTTACGCTAGAACTCCTATGTGCTTAGCTAATTGCATTGCCCATCAAGCAAGGGATCCATAAAAATCACTTCTTTGGTTCTTTTGCAAAGCAAATAAGCAATTGTCCCATGAGCAGCAAGCTAGCATCACAAACCAAATCCAACTATTTTACCAGCACCTTTCCCAAAGAAGAAAATGTCTCTCTTTTTTCCACTAATTCCAACCTCCTACACCCCCAAAACCCCATGACACAAGCACACCCAATGGCATCACCTTACTTCCTTTCTGCACTCTGAGCAGCATAAATGACAAAATTACATCAGCGAGATATATGCTTCATGAAGTCAATTCTTTCTGTAGACACAGCAGCATCCCATGATCAGTGACAACATAAAATTCAACTATTTCAATGTTCACAGAAATGAGAAAAAAGACTACCTTTTACTGTACAGTCCAGATCATAAAACATTCACCCTCCCTCCCAACGCAGCACCACATACCATTGGGCAAAATCACATCACGGCAACTAAGCTACACCAAGTCCCCTCAAGCTTGAGGTATCGGGATCAGATTCTCGTCTACCCGACCCTAAATCTACCACCATATCCCCGGTCCGGGCATCCTACGATGGCCAAAGGGCTAACAGAGCAACGCACACAAGTCAGGCGGCGACATCACGAGCAGCGCCACGGGAGGCTCGCCTGGCGGAACAAGCGTTTGGCCATACCGAATCTACCAGGGTGACGAGCGGCCGCAGGCACGCTTGTGTGAGGTAGTAGATGGGAAGCGGCGCGGTGCTTCAGGAGATGGATGGTACCTTGAGGTCGATGTTGGAGCGAGAGGAAAGGACGGGGCTGAACTCGGGGTCCTTCTGGATGGTGCGCCACTTGCCAGCGCCATGCTTGAGCACGCCGCGCCGCAGCGCCTCCTCCTCCTCCGACGTCCACTTCTGCTTCGGCGCACCCATCTCTTCTCCCGAGCTCCGCCTCCCTTCCCGTGCTCCTCGCCGTATGAACTAGCCGACCAGAAACCCTAATCTAACTGATGGCCTTTTCGAGGTTTTTTTTTCCTCTTTATTTGCTGATGAAATGCTCCCCCGAGTAGTACGAGTACGTGTAGAACTCAAAAGGGATAAGTACTCCATAAATCACCAACCATGGCCAAGGCTATCTCCACCCTTCACCCTCTTCTTGAGATCCGTACCGACCAAAAGCAAGATATATTACTTACCCGAATTCTTTTTGCGGGTCTACTTACCTGAATTCATCATGGGGCACATAAAAAGCACACCATCCACGCTTTAGGATTTTTATTAAGGTAAATGTTGGTGCCCGGTCGACTGGTAGAAATTCCGTCGGTCGCATCCAAAGCGCATCGCTGGCTTGTGGTCCCATGCGATTAGTTTATTCCTTCAGCCTTATCTCTTCCCGCATGCAACCTCCTCCGCTCGTTTTTCTCTCCGGCCGCGTCAGCTTCCGTCTCTCCATCGTCTTCAAACCCGATGTATCATCTAACACCTTTGCTACCAACGCCGACGCCTCCTCCCATGCGACCATGAATGCCATAGCTAGGAGCTGGCAAATACAAAAAGTTGCATTAGGCCTACTGGATGCTACGACCAGCGATGGACGATTACTGCAACCAATCATGGTGACGCCGCAACACGGACCAGCGATGGACTCCTTGAGATTCGTACAGACCAAAAACAAGATATATTATTACTTACCCGATTCTTTTTTGCGGGTCTACTTACCCGAATTCATCATGGGGCACATAAAAAGCACACCATCCACACTTTAGGATTTTTATTAATTATGATAACGAAATTTGTAATTGGAACACCCAATGTTTTGCATTTTTGCAAAACTACGAACGGTTTCATCGCTGTCCGATTTAGATCCCCGATTAAATCCCCCAGCGCGCAACTTCTTCCTCACTTCCACGCACGCAAGGCCACTGCCTCGGCGACCGTCGCGCCCAGCATCACCGCGTCCACCACCCACCTCCAAGTGCCCCCCTCCCTCGAAGATAGGGCGAGACATCCCTGTGGTGACAGATGAAATTGAAGTCGCCTTTGTCGACCTCATGGCCTCTGTCCATCGCGTCTTAGATGAAGGCGCGGAGAAAGTTGAAGAGGAGGTGTGGTCGTTGGTTGTTGTCGTGGCACCCAACCTGGTCGATCTCCCTCCATATTATATTCTCTACTCTTCTCTTCTCTCTTGATGATGGGTAGCAGCAGTAGTCACTAGGGGGAAGAGCACTCGCGGATGAGCAGAAACATAGGGCTTCCTATCCTATGCTTGAGAGGATGGAGGCGACCTCCGTGAGGCCCAGCCGTTAACGACGGATGGATGTGGTTGAGATGGAGCATGTTGGATCTGGTGTGAGGAAGAGAGCCACCATGGTTGTCGGCGGCTAACCTGGTCGTTGGATCTCCCTCTCGTCTTCTCATTGTCTTGTGATGAGGGAAGGGAGGGAAAGGGTGGGAACAACGACGGTGGGTGCCGAGGTCCAAGGAAGACGAGTGTCGGCGGTGGGTGGTGGTGCAGTGGGGTGGAAGGATATGAATATGGGGTTTGGGTCTTTTCGGTGGGTGCTGGTCACTAGATCACTAGCATAGCTTGTTTTTAGCACTAGTGGAAAAAAGTTATTTGGAAAACAAACTCGATATAACTTCTATACAGATAGCACGGTAATACATGCACTACAGACATGATAACTTGCGCAAAACACCGTGGTAACTTTGACCCAGGGGAAAATTGTTGAAAATATAACCTCGATAACGTCTGTATAAATAGCATGATAATATACGCGTCTTGACCTGATAAGTTTCGTACAACACCGTGGTAACATTGACATGTGGAAAAAAGTTGTTGAAGACATACCTTGGTAACTACCAGGGGTGGAGCCAGAATATTTGGTCATTGGGTTCACTCAATGACTCTTTCGGAGAACTTGATACTAATATGTGAAGTGCAAAATTATACGGTGGCTTGTAAGGTCCCCTGTTAAATATTTGCGCTTAATCTCATCTTTCTTCTTTGGATTTTTTTGTGTACTATGAAATTCTCTTCTGATGAGTCGGAACATAAGGCAACTCATCTAAGCTAATTTTTGTATGAGTAAGTAGGCTTCAGTAGAAGCTATAGTGACATTCGATGCACTTTGCGTACGGTTTATCCATGTGACGGCACCCGCGAGCGTACCACGTGAAGTGGCTATACGACTCTGGAAAATTAAAGATTATGTCTAATGGCTGATCTTGATGTACTTATATAATTATCTGGATCTGGTGAGTGAGTTCTCTTCGGAAAATACCACTCCATAGCCTAGATCAACCAAAGTCCATGGACAAAAACAAATCAACGGTGATGCAGATTTGGAGAAAGGAAAATGGTGGTGCAAGAGGGAGGCCCGGCTGACTATGCCAGTAAGAGGAAGGCACAACTGCTCCATTGGATACCTCCCCCAGCTGGCTGGACAAAGCTGAATAACGATGGTAGCTTTGTACAGGCCATAGGAGCAGTGATATGTCCATTTTGTATCATGCTTTTATATCAATATTTATTGCATTATGGGTCGTTACTACACAATAATACTTATGTCTTTTCTCTCTCATTTTACAAGGTTTATATGAAGAGGGTGAATGCCGGCAGCTGGAATCCTGGGCTGGAAAAGGAGCAAATATTAGACACCTATTCTGCACAACTCAAAAAGTCCTGAAACTCCAAGAAAATCAGTTTTGGAATATATTAAAAATATTGGGCGAAGAAAGCACCAGAGGAGGGCCACCCACCGTCCACAAGGGTGGGGGCGCGCCCTACCCCTGCGCCTCCCTGCCTCATGGGCCACCTGGAAGCCCCCTGATGCCCATCTTCTGGTATAAGGTGTCTTTTGCCCTGGAAAAAATCATAAGGAAACTTTCGGGATGAAGCACCGCCATCTCGAGGCGGAACCTTGGCGGAACCAATCTAGGGCTCTGGCAGAGCTGTTCTGTCGGGGAAACATCCCTCCGGGAGGGGGAAATGGTCGCCATCGTCATCACCATTGATCCTCTCATCGAGAGGGGGTCAATCTCCATCAACATCTTCACCAACACCATCTCCTCTCAAACCCTAGTTCATCTCTTGTATCCGATCTTTGTTTCAAAACCTCATATTAATACCATATGTTCAGATCCTTTATGCATATTAATATCCCTCTGATTATGAACATGAGTATGATTTGTGAGTAGTTACATTTGTTCATGAGGACATGGGAGAAGTTTTGTTATAAGTAGTCATGTGAATTTGGTATTCGTTCGAATTTTGATGAGATGTATGTTGTCTTTCCTCTAGTGGTGTTATGTGAACGTCGACTACATGACACTTCACCATTATTTGGGCCTAGGGGAAGGCATTGGGAAGTAATAAGTAGATGATGGGTTGCTAGAGTGACAGAAGCTTAAATCCTAGTTTATGCGTTGCTTTGTAAGGGGATGATTTGGATCCATATGTTTCATGCTATGGTTAGGTTTACATTAATTCTTCTTTTGTAGTCGCGGATGCTTGCGAGAGGGGTTAATCATAACTGGGATGCTTGTCCAAGGAAGGGTAGTACCCAAGCACCGGTCTACCCACATATCAAACTATCAAAGTACTGAACGTGAATCATATGAGCATGATGAAAACTAGCTTGACGATAATTCCCATGTGTCCTCGGGAGCGCTTTCCTTTATATAAGAGTTTGTCCAGGCTTGTCCTTTCTTACAAAAAGGATTGGGCCACCTTGCTACACCTTATTTACTTTTGTTACTTGTTACCCGTTACGAATTACCTTATCACAAAACTATCTGTTATCGATAATTTCAGTGCTTGCAGAGAATACCTTACTAAAAACCGCTTGTCATTTCCTTCTGCTCCTGGTTGGGTTCGACACTCTTACTTATCGAAAGGACTACTATGTATCCCCTATACTAGTGGGTCATCAAGACTCTTTTCTGGCGCCGTTGCCGGGGAGTGAAGCGCCTTTGGTAGGTGGAATTTGGTAAGGAAAAATTTATATAGTGTGCTGAAATTTACTATCACTTGTTACTATGGAAAATAATCCTTTGAGGGGCTTGTTCGGGGTATCTTCACCCCGACCGGTAGAGAAAAGAGTTGCTCCTCAACCTACTGAACCTACTAAAAATGTTTACTTTGAAATTCCTTCAGGTATGATAGAGAAACTGCTAGCTAATCCTTTTACAGGAGACGGAACATTACATCCCGATATGCACCTAATCTATATGAATGAAATTTGTGGATTATTTAAGCTTGCAGGTATGCCCAAGGATGTTATTGTTGGGTTTCGTAGTAATTTCAAAAAATTTCCTACGCGCACACAGGATCATGTGATGCATAGCAACGAGAGGAGAGTGTTGTCTACGTACCCAACGCAGACCGACTGCGGAAGCGATGACACGACGTAGAGGAAGTAGTCGTACGTCTTCACGATCCAACCGATCAAGCACCGAAACTACGGCACCTCCGAGTTCGAGCACACGTTCAGCTCGATGACGATCCCCGGACTCCGATCCAGCAAAGTGTCGGGGAAGAGTTCCGTCAGCACGACGGCGTGGTGACGATCTTGATGAACTACAGCAGCAGGGCTTCGCCTAAACTCCGCTACAGTATTATCGAGGAATATGGTGGCAGGGGGCACCGCACACGGCTAAGGAATCGATCACGTGGATCAACTTGTGTCAACTTGTGTGTTTAGAGGTGCCCCTGCCTCAGTATATAAAGGAGGAGAGGAGGGGAGGCTGGCCGGCCAAGGGGGGAGGCGCAGGAGAGTCCTACTCCTTCTGGGAGTAGGATTCCCCCTCCAATCCTAGTCCAACTAGGATTCCTCGGAGGGGAAAAGAGGAGGAGGGGGCCGGCCACCTCTCCTAGTCCTAATAGGACTAGGGGAAGGGGGGGCGCGCAGCCCATCTAGGGCAGCCCCTTC